CGACCCTTTAAACCATATATATTCTTGATCAGCATTAAAAGGCGAATCGATCTGGCATGTCAGCTAGAAAAAATAATGTTCGTAAATTTTTTCAAAAATTTATAAGGGGTTACATCGTTAAAAATCGTCAAAAATCAACAAAAAACTAGATTTTAAATTGAGTACGCACATTTGTTGACATTTTAAAAACCAGCATAAAACTTATTTCCGAATCGAAATTAATGGATTTTTGACAAAGTTATTCATATTTTAAACCCCTGATTTGTTCAATAAATTATCTAATAAAATCTATCTAGAAAAAATCGGTTTAAAAATGCAACCTTTTGAGGTCTTCTTGAAGGCTCAAGATGGCAACAAAGTCAGTAATGAACCAAAGTTATATTCCGAAAATATTGAAAGATTTAAAAGCTTTATAGTTAAACAAATTATTATTTGTGGGGAAAAGAATTAGAATATGGCGTTAAGAAACGTGAAAATTGTTTAATTAAAGTTAAATATATTTTTAATGTAAAAACAAACCCGTCTTGCAAAATATTATACTTAAACATTTGATTACTTTGGGAGTGGAATGAAATATAAGTTCGAATGATAATAAGTAGCGATATAAACCCACTTTTGAACTTCAAGATGCCCATTACGGGTCACAGGACTCTGCACAGGACTCCTCCTTCACCCCTTGCTTTCCTCCTCCGCCTTGCCTCCTGATTTCAATTTCTTTTCATTGTTCATTTAAAGGCTACCTGGCAGGCGAGTGGCAAGGCGTCACGGGGCGTGTCGTCTCCTAAGTGGAACGTTTGTTGTCCTGGGACACGTGGCTTGTGGCATGGGGCATGGGGCATGCGGCAAGGCTGAGGATGAGGTTGAGGGTACGGGTATAATCGATGGCAATGTCCTGGCCGAGTGTCCTGTATGGCCTTCTAATTGAATATATTCAAGCTGTCATATAGGGCCAGCACCTTGCTCATTATTTCCACTCCATTGTGTAGCAATTGCTGGCGGAGATCGACAAGGATGTGCACACTCTCAGGTATAACTGCAGAAAGTTTCCGAGTTTCGTAATGTATGATTTGATTTTATATACAGTACGAGACATCAGAAATTTTCGGCAGTTAGCTACCAAAATCTGTAGCGACAACGAAGAATAAGCTAAATACCGGATAATCATAATCAGTATCCAATCCGAATACTTGAATTTAAACATTGGCCATTTTCTGTATGTGATTTTAGAACAATACGAATGTGGTTAGTGTTTGAACTCAGAGATTCCCGGAGCCACGAAGCCTAACTAACTAACTAACCACTCTAAGCGCTCAATGAGGACGAGCGAGGCAGTGCCTCGCCATTGGTGAGAGCATCTCCAATGAGGGCACTTGATTCCATTGGATTAGTTCTTACTGATGGTGGAGCATTGCACCACCTCCTGGCACCAGCTCCAGACCCAGGTCCGTGCTCCAGCCACCTCTAGGATACGGACTGGATTACGAGAATATCGCACCTGTGTGTGTTCGATATCCGGTGAGATATTCACGTGGTCGACTTCGTGTCTGGAACAAAGTTTACTTTAAATTTGCATTCAACTTATAATGTTTCAGGAGTATTTGTTTGGCATTAATGAAATTGGTTATAACCCTGGAATTTGAGATCCCTTAGTCCCAAGTTCTGTGTAAATTTGTTTTGTTCTTTTAAGTAATTTCAAAACCCGACGGTGACTACAATAATTTTAAATTAAATATTGTGTGCACATATATTAATATATACACATAATTAATAACTGATTAACTAAGCTAATAAGGCTAAAAAATGAATCCCGCCTGTGGCTTGATCTAGATGCCAAGTCCTATTGTTTCGAAATTCGTTAACATATTTACATAATTTCCTCGAAGGTCCTTTTGTGTCGACCGACTGGGGCTTGGAGCAAGGCACATTTATAATCATAATGCCCCACAAAATGCGATAGGAATAGTTTCGTGATGAGGTTGCGAATCAAAGCGATTTAAATTAAAAAACACACACTCCATAATGCCATCTGCGTGGCGAAAATGGCAATGAATGGGAAAACCCATGCCGGAATAATGGCGAAAACGCAATTGAAATCGAATCTCAGATTTTAAAGCGATATTCCTTCGCCAGCGATGACAATGATGATGACGCCGATGATGACCCCGATGATGATGATGATGATGGCTCTGCTTGTTGCTGCCTTTCTGTGCACATTAATGAGCTGCTTGTATGCTTTTAATTTGCATATGTCTGTAAATGCCGAATCGATAGATAGATGGGCTTTTGATTAATTAACATATACAAGAGCCACACACACACACACACACACAGCGCACTCCGACTCCATATTCAGTTCCGGCGCAACGAGGATGGAGTCCGTCGAGCGACATGGCCAAAAACCATAATTGATTGTCGATAATTCATGCGAGCTTAAATTGCCAATTGCATGCGGAGAGCAGAGGAGCGGACCGTAGCAGAGGATGCGGGGGAGATGCGATAGCAATGTTCATGTTCATGTCCATGTCGATGTCCATGTCCACGTCGATGCCCATGTCGATGCTGGCTAATGGCCAGCACACAGAGACGAGAGCCTACGCCAGCATATTTATTTATATACTCCAATATTTGCTGCACATATGTATATATGCAGGGACTCGAATGCGGACGGACACTGTACTGTGTGCCCACCGCCCAACTCTGTGCTGCATCCTGCCTGCATCCTCCTATCACCCACACTTGCTCCGGCAAATTGGCTTTTGTGGGTGTGTATCGGCGCATGTGTCTGGGCTTGGTCGAGAAGGCCCCATCATCATCGGGGGCATCGATAAAACCCGTGAAAATTAAAATTGGCACAATTTTACACCTGCCCGAGAACAACAGCAATAGAAGCACAGCCTGGCAGGCTCAAGATTAAGCTAGATATACGTATGCTTACAAGCCGCAGTAAAATGTGGGCTAGTGGGGTGGATAAGCTCTACAGCTCTACAGGCTGACTAAAAATTGTATATATATTCGATGTATACTTTATATATGATTAATTATGTACGATATGGCTCAAGGACACACATGGTCTGGAAAGCCCTTCGACTGATACGTCAACCTAATGGTATCAGTCAGAGAGGCGATTTCAGATCATCTGCGATCATCATCGGTGGGCCAGTGGACCAGTGATTGCCGGCTGCCTGGCGTGCGTCCCGTGACAGGCAGTTCCTGAAGTGTCAAATAGTGGAGATAGCAACAGAATATTTGGCACCCCAGAGACAGCCTGTTACAGGCCAGCGATCGACCCACGCAGGTTACCAAAGAGATCGGTTTGATTGCAACTAAACTGGAGATCGCTTCTCATCTGCCAATGTTGATTCGATAGCTTTACAGTGAGAATGAGGTTTCCGGATTTAAGAGCAATGGAGATTACCGAACCGATGTGGCACACCACAAGGTCGAAGGCGCAAGCAGCATTCTACGGCACTGGCCAACGTGTATCTTGAAAAATCGTGTCCAGTGACGTGGATGCAGTTGTGCAGACGCAAACGTCAGCGGCTGTCTATGTTTTTGCTATCCCTACTTCATAAGGTTTATTCAGATAAATAAAATATAATACATATATCAGTCAGTTTTTATGAATTTCAGATTGAAGCCATTTCACAACTTATCTGCGGAAGTCAACGAAGCCTCAACCTGACTTGCGAAGACACCGAAAACCAGAGTTAATCATTTATATGTCTGATAAAAACTGTTTAGTGAATTTTTTGTTAAAGATATCAAATTATTCTATACTAATAAAATTTGTAAGCTGTTTTCCAACATATCTGGCTTTTAGGGGGGAGGAACGTGGGGAACGGTGTGCTGTCTGTGAAGCAAAAAATTTAAGGCAATGGCGAACTGCGGCAAAGGAAATCCAGAAATTGATGAATTTGTACGGAAATTGTCAAAATTGAAGCCTTGTTATAGCCTACAACAACTATATTACAACAATAACTATTTGTAAAAAAACATAAGGAAATAAAATGCATTAATTTAAGGTCCAAATTTGAATTTGAAGTTTAAAAGACGATCAGTTCCTACCATATAAGATAACGGCCACACTTGAATTCGAATTTAAATAAACAATCACAATAATCCCGCCATAGAAGCTAATCGATAACTTTGAATTCGAATTTCAATACTCGATTATTTCCCGCGATTAAAACGTTTACAAAATTTAAATAAAATGTGGTTGAAGTCTGAGCTTACTGCCAGTCGAAGATCATAACTGCTTTGGAACTCTGCTAAATGCCCACAACCGACATCTGTTTGTCTCGAACACGATATATCGAAATTGATGAATTTGTACTGAAATTATTGTTATTGTAAAATAATGTTATTGTAAGATAAATGTTGTTGTTGTTGTTGTTGTTGTTGTTTTACGCCGGACCAAGGCTTCAATTTAGTTGATTTCAGCCTAAAATCGTCAATTTTTTTCGATTTGATATACCAGGCGAACAGAAGGCAGCAGCAAGCAGATTTATTTTTGAGAGAGTTCTTCATACAGCCTAAAAGTATGCTACTCAGCTCCCCCAAAAGTATGCAATTGCAAAAATATGCAATCTTTTTGTAGTGTGACCAGCTCATTTTACACTTCTTAAATACCAAAGTGTAACAATATCATAACAAATTGTAGTGTGGCCAGCAGTTTTTACACTTCTAGAATACCAAAGTGTGACCATATCTACTACTTTTATACCAAAGTGTGACGATATCCACTATTTGTATATCGAAAAAAAGCTGTTCTTCCATCAGGAACGGGACCGTAAAATTGAATGTTAGTTAATTTCGTATATAAACACGTAAGAAACGAGTGCCGACCGATGCATTCTAACTTGCGCAACGTAAGTTCCAAACCATTCGAGTGCCCGCAGTGCCGTACTCCTCAGATATTCCCTCCAGTTCAAGGATAGCCTTAAAAACTTCGCCTGCTTCAACCAGAATATGATGAACTTCTATGTGGAGGTGATCTGTAGCGTCTGTTATTGAGGAGCAGGAGCGGGGCCGTCTCGAGCGTCTGGTCACCGAGGGCAGCATACCAAAGGACCGGAAGGGGGCCGGTCTGACTGGCTGCAATGGAACTGTGCCGCCACCGCCGCCGCCAATGCTTAAGGCGCCACCGATGGCGCCGACAATAATGCCACTACCGCCGCCATGTTCGGGTGCACCGCCTCAACCACCGTGCATGGCGCCAGAAATGAGTGAGAGCTAAGTTTAAGGAGCGTCACATAAATTAATTTCTATCCTTTGCATCTAGGACACCGTCCAGAGAGAGCTTGACGAAAGCAAGCTGTATAACAACGTGGAGTTGGAGTCGATAGACAAATTCTTTTCGGCTTACCAAAAGAATGCGGTATCGGTGAGTGTCTCGAAGAGATTCCAATGAAAGGTCTTCCTTTATTTAATGCTCTCCTCTCTTTTCACAGGCTACCGATGGCTCCTTTGAGGATCTGCGAGCAACTGGCGGCAAGCCAGCCGGGACGCCGAGCCCAGAACTGCACCACCCTGCTCAGACTGCTCAGCAAGATGAAGATGAGCTATATGGAGATATCAAAGTCCAGATCCAGTCCAAGCAGCAGCAGCAGCCGCTCAAGCTGACCGTGGTCACCCGCCAGGAGCAGCGTTACATTGGACCCAACTGCCTCAACATGACACCGGAGCCGCCGCAGCAGAAGCTCATTACCAGGACCACTTCCACTCCGCAGCTAAGCGGCCTCGGCGGTGCCTCTACCAAGGGCGTGATGCAGCTGTTTATGGCCTCCCATGGCAAGCTGGTGACACCCAATAGTGCCCTGCCGCCCGTTTCGCCATTGGGCAACATTAGCATCCCAGGGAACTATCGGAATGGAAATTAGCAGCAACAACAACACCAACAGCAAAACCCTCAAGCTGAACACGCGCGTCGTTGGCCTTCCGGTCACCCTATCACCGGCAGTCATCAAGCTGGACTCAGTGGGCAGGCCGTTGGGTCGAGGGTATGTGCCCGTCGAGCAGAAGATCCACCAGGGGCTGCAGGACCTCAAGGCGCTGAAGCGCCTGAGCAAGATTAACAGGCACAACACACTGAAGGCTTCGCTGGACAAGCTCAGCACAGGCGACGAGGCCGATGCGGAGGAGGATGACGATGAGGACTCTGAAGTGGACTGCTATGGACCCGGAGAACTGCGCAATGTCTAGTCCACCCATGAGTTGGATAGAAATGGGCAAGTGTTAGATAAACTACGTAAAGAAGTTTGATTCTCATTGAATTTTCTTTCTTACCAACAGCATCGAGCCGGAGAACGTACACAAGCCCGCTGGCAATCGCAGCCTGAATGCAGCTGCCTCCATAGCCAATGGAGCCAGCAATGGCAGCATTAATGGAATGCGTCCGGCCATGTCGATGGACCAGCTCTGTGATCTGACGCCCAAGGAGGCGTCCTTATCGCGAGGCCTCATTTCCCAGTGGAAAGGCGGATCAAGAGGAATGCCGAGAACGGCACGGGCCTCTAACGTGAACAGCGCCAAGGAGAAGAGCCTCGATGAATGGAAATCAGCAGCAACAGCAACAACCTCAAGCCTTCCTGGAGAACGGCAACTCGAGAACGGGTATTACAACGGTCACCCTATTACCGGCAGCCATCGAGCCATCAGAGGGCAAGCCGTTGCGTCGAGGGTATGTGTCCGTCGAGCAGAAGATCCAGCAGGAGCTGCAGGACCTGAAGGCGCTGAAGCGCCTGCGCAAGATTAACAGGCACAACACACTGAAGGCTTCGCTGGACAAGCTGTGAGTACACGTCACGGCTTTCAAGAATCCTCTTATCTTACGTTTTTTCGTTTCCAGCCAGCTCAGAACAGACGACGAGGCCGATTCGGTGGAGCACTGCTGTGGACCCGGAAAACTGCGCAATGTCCAACTGTAACCGGTATGTTGAGGATGAGGCCAAGACAGCGCGTGATGCCCAGGAGAAGTTGCGCTCATCCCTGGCCAGGTGAGTTTATACTATTCTAATTTTTGTCGAAAGCTTGTAATACTGTGAAGGAGTCATTCTCGACCCTATAAATAGTATATATATATTCTAGATCAGCATCATCAGCCGAGTCGGTCTAGCTAGGGTCAGGGTCAGTTTTAAAACTATCGAAAGAGTTAGATCTTATAATTAATTTAGGCTTTAACTTTGAGTATTCGTTTGTAGATATCCTCAATACAAATTACTGAATCACTTTAAATTAAAAATAAGTAATGGGATCCATGGCAATAAGGGAATTAATTGAAAAATAAATGCATAGCCTGATCCCTCCTATAGCATCTATATATGTATATGATATAATTGTCATGATTAAGACTTACCCCAGTGGAGGACACGACATAGTTTACTTCCTTCCATACAATAATATAATTGTCATGATTAAGACTTACCTGAGTGTAGAACACGTCATTGTTTACTTCCTTCCAGTGTAGACTTCGAATCTCGTTGACTTCAATTAGGGTAGTCATAATATCGGAGATCACTTCCTGGTTATCCAGATGTATTCCATTGGCCACGTCATTCTTTTAATCACTATCACTATCGATGTAAACACTAGGTACCCCTAGGACAGACTGAGGTCGCGGCGAACGAAGTGCCTCTATTTATAGTTCCCCAGCCAAGAGAACAGAGAAAGTGAGAGCGAGAGAGTAAGAGATAGGCAGAGAAACATACAGCGAAGAAGTTAGCTCTGAAGATGCACATTGGGAGTTGGACCTACCGGATACAAAGAGGTAGAGAGAGTAAGAGAAAGGAAGAGAGCTGTTGATGCTGATCAAGAATATGTTTACTTAATAAGGGCGTTACTGCGTTCCAAACTTTTGAGTAAAATTATAATACCATGCAAGGGTATAAAACTGATAAAATAAATTTGGACTCTTGCAGAGGAAAATATAATTTTAATCAGTAAAGGAGTCACGAAATGCGCGAACGTTTGCTGCAGACTGCCGAAATGGAGGCGGAGGATTTGCAGTAATGCGCCAGCAATGGGTGAGTACAGAGTTAAGTCAAGTTAAGGAACGTCACATAAATTAATTTCTATCCTTTGTATCTAGAGCACCGTCTGAAGCGAGCTTGACGAAAGCAAGCTGTATAACAACGTGGAGTTGGAGTCGATAGACAAATTCTTTTCGGCTTACCAAAAGAATGCGGTATCGGTGAGTGTCTCGAAGAGATTCCAATGAAAGGTCTTCCTTTATTTAATGCTCTCCTCTCTTTTCACAGGCTACCGATGGCTCCTTTGAGGATCTGCGAGCAACTGGCGGCAAGCCAGCCGGGACGCCGAGCCCAGAACTGCACCACCCTGCTCAGACTGCTCAGCAAGATGAAGATGAGCTATATGGAGATATCAAAGTCCAGATCCAGTCCAAGCAGCAGCAGCAGCCCCTCAAGCTGACCGTGGTCACCCGCCAGGAGCAGCGTTACATTGGACCCAACTGCCTCAACATGACACCGGAGCCGCCGCAGCAGAAGCTCATTACCAGGACCACTTCCACTCCGCAGCTAAGCGGCCTCGGCGGTGCCTCTACCAAGGGCGTGATGCAGCTGTTTATGGCCTCCCATGGCAAGCTGGTGACACCCAATAGTGCCCTGCCGCCCGTTTCGCCATTGGGCAACATTAGCATCCCAGGGAACTATCGGAATGGAAATTAGCAGCAACAACAACACCAACAGCAAAACCCTCAAGCTGAACACGCGCGTCGTTGGCCTTCCGGTCACCCTATCACCGGCAGTCATCAAGCTGGACTCAGTGGGCAGGCCGTTGGGTCGAGGGTATGTGCCCGTCGAGCAGAAGATCCACCAGGGGCTGCAGGACCTCAAGGCGCTGAAGCGCCTGAGCAAGATTAACAGGCACAACACACTGAAGGCTTCGCTGGACAAGCTCAGCACAGGCGACGAAGTCGATGCGGAGGAGGATGACGATGAGGACTCTGAAGTGGACTGCTATGGACCCGGAGAACTGCGCAATGTCTAGTCCACCCATGAGTTGGATAGAAATGGGCAAGTGTTAGATAAACTACGTAAAGAAGTTTGATTCTCATTGAATTTTCTTTCTTACCAACAGCATCGAGCCGGAGAACGTACACAAGCCCGCTGGCAATCGCAGCCTGAATGCAGCTGCCTCCATAGCCAATGGAGCCAGCAATGGCAGCATTAATGGAATGCGTCCGGCCATGTCGATGGACCAGCTCTGTGATCTGACGCCCAAGGAGGCGTCCTTATCGCGAGGCCTCATTTCCCAGTGGAAAGGCGGATCAAGAGGAATGCCGAGAACGGCACGGGCCTCTAACGTGAACAGCGCCAAGGAGAAGAGCCTCGATGACCCGCATTCTAATGACTCTGGCTTCGCGGCATCCTCGCAGAGCAACAAAAACCTCCAGTCCAAGCAGCAGCAGCAGCCGCTCAAGCTGACCGTGGTCACCCTCCAGGAGCAGCGTTACATTGGACCCAACTGCCTCACCATGACACCGGAGCCGCCGCAGCAGAAGCTCATTACCAGGACCACTTCCACTCCTCAGCTAAGCGGCCTCGGCGTTGCCTCTACCAAGGGCGTGATGCAGCGGTTTATGGCCTCCCATGGCATGCACCCTCAAGCCTTCCTGGAGAACGGCAACTCGACAACGGGCATTACCACGGTCACCCTATCGACGGCAGCCATCGAGCCGGAATCGGAGGGCAGGCCGTTGTTCCAAGAGTATGTGCCCGTCGAGAAGAAGAACCAGCAGGAGCTGCAGGACCTGAAGCCGCTGAAGCGCCTGAGCAAGACTAACAGGCACAACACACTGAAGGCTTCGCTGGACAAGCTCAGCACAGGCGACGAGGCCGATGCGGACGAGGATGACGATGAGGACTCTGAAGTGGACTGCTATGGACCCGGAGAACTGCGCAATGTCTAGTCCACCCATGAGTTGGATAGAAATGGGCAAGTGTTAGATAAACTACGTAAAGAAGTTTGATTCTCATTGAATTTCTTTCTTACCAACAGCATCGAGCCGGAGAACGTACACAAGCCCGCTGGCAATCGCAGCCTGAATGCAGCTGCCTCCATAGCCAATGGAGCCAGCAATGGCAGCATTAATGGAATGCGTCCGGCCATGTCGATGGACCAGCTGTCTCTCTCATCGCAAGGCCTAATTTCCCAGTCGGAAAGCCTGTTCAAAAGAAATGCCGAAAACGGGACGGTTATTGAAGCGGCAATCACTACTTTTAAAAAAGGTACGACCATATCCATTATCAGAAGCTTTTTGCAGTGTGACCAACTCATGTTTCGCTATTTTTACATCAAAGTGTGACCGCTTTGACTCTTAGCTGGTTGCCTGCAGCCATGTGCAACAGCGACGATCAGCTAACATGGGAGCATGTGCAGCATTGACTATCGATTGCTGGCATGCAACCATACGCAGCTTTGACTATCGATTGCTGGTGTGGAACCATGTGCAGCTTTGACATCCTACGTTTTGGGTTATGGTGAATGCACTCAGGAGCAGCCACAGGATCAGGATGAGCTGGATCAAGACCAGGGCGTGCTGGCGTCAGTTTGCCTTCGGTGGTACCTCTACCAAGGGCGTGATGCAGCGGTTTATGGCCTCCCATGGCAAGCTGGTGACACCCAATAGTGCCCTGCCGCCAGTCTCGCCATTGGGCAACATCAGCATCCCAGGGAACTATCAGAATGGAAATCAGCAGCAACAGCAACACCCTCAAGCCTTCCTGGAGAACGGCAACTCGAGAACGGGTATTACCACGGTCACCCTATTACCGGCAGCCATCGAGCCATCAGAGGGCAAGCCGTTGCGTCGAGGGTATGTGTCCGTCGAGCAGAAGATCCAGCAGGAGCTGCAGGACCTGAAGGCGCTGAAGCGCCTGCGCAAGATTAACAGGCACAACACACTGAAGGCTTCGCTGGACAAGCTGTGAGTACACGTCAAGGCTTTCAAGAATCCTCTTATCTTACGTTTTTTCGTTTCCAGCCAGCTCAGAACAGACGACGAGGCCGATTCGGTGGAGCACTGCTGTGGACCCGGAAAACTGCGCAATGTCCAACTGTAACCGGTATGTTGAGGATGAGGCCAAGACAGCGCGTGATGCCCAGGAGAAGTTGCGCTCATCCCTGGCCAGGTGAGTTATACTATTCTAATTTTGTCGAAAGCTTGTAATACTGTGAAGGAGTCATTCTCGACCCTATAAATAGTATATATATATTCTAGATCAGCATCATCAGCCGAGTCGGTCTAGCTAGGGTCAGGGTCAGTTTTAAAACTATCGAAAGAGTTAGATCTTATAATTAATTTAGGCTTTTAACTTTGAGTATTCGTTGTAGATATCCTCAATACAAATTACTGAATCACTTTAAATTAAAACTAAGTAATGGGATCCATGGCAATAAGGGAATTAATGAAAAATAAATGCATAGCCTGATCCCTCCTATAGCATCTATATATGTATATGATATAATTGTCATGATTAAGACTTACCCCAGTGGAGGACACGACATAGTTTACTTCCTTCCATACAATAATATAATTGTCATGATTAAGACTTACCTGAGTGTAGAACACGTCATTGTTTACTTTCTTCCAGTGTAGACTTCGAATCTCGTTGACTTCAATTAGGGTAGTCATAATATCGGAGATCACTTCCTGGTTATCCAGATGTATTCCATTGGCCACGTCATTCTTTTAATCACTATCACTATCGATGTAAACACTAGGTACCCCTAGGACAGACTGAGGTCGCGGCGAACGAAGTGCCTCTATTTATAGTTCCCCAGCCAAGAGAACAGAGAAAGTGAGAGCGAGAGAGTAAGAGATAGGCAGAGAAACATACAGCGAAGAAGTTAGCTCTGAAGATGCACATTGGGAGTTGGACCTACCGGATACAAAGAGGTAGAGAGAGTAAGAGAAAGGAAGAGAGCTGTTGATGCTGATCAAGAATATGTTTACTTAATAAGGGCGTTACTGCGTTCCAAACTTTTGAGTAAAATTATAATACCATGCAAGGGTATAAAACTGATAAAATAAATTTGGACTCTCTTGCAGAGGAAAATATAATTTAATCAGTATAGGAGTCACGAAATGCGCGAACGTTTGCTGCAGACTGCCGAATGGAGGCGGAGGATTTGCAGTAATGCGCCAGCAATGGGTGAGTACAGAGTTAAGTCAAGTTAAGGAACGTCACATAAATTAATTTCTATCCTTTGTATCTAGAGCACCGTCTGAAGCGAGCTTGACGAAAGCAAGCTGTATAACAACGTGGAGTTGGAGTCGATAGACAAATTCTTTTCGGCTTACCAAAAGAATGCGGTATCGGTGAGTGTCTCGAAGAGATTCCAATGAAAGGTCTTCCTTTATTTAATGCTCTCCTCTCTTTTCACAGGCTACCGATGGCTCCTATGAGGATCTGCGAGCAACTGGCGGCAAGCCAGCCGGGACGCCGAGCCCAGAACTGCACAACCCTGCTCAGACTGCTCAGCAAGATGAAGATGAGCTATATGGAGATATCAAAGTCCAGATCCAGTCCAAGCAGCAGCAGCAGCCGCTCAAGCTGACCGTGGTCACCCGCCAGGAGCAGCGTTACATTGGACCCAACTGCCTCAACATGACACCGGAGCCGCCGCAGCAGAAGCTCATTACCAGGACCACTTCCACTCCGCAGCTAAGCGGCCTCGGCGGTGCCTCTACCAAGGGCGTGATGCAGCTGTTTATGGCCTCCCATGGCAAGCTGGTGACACCCAATAGTGCCCTGCCGCCCGTCTCGCCATTGGGCAACATTAGCATCCCAGGGAACTATCGGAATGGAAATTAGCAGCAACAACAACACCAACAGCAAAACCCTCAAGCTGAACACGCGCGTCGTTGGCCTTCCGGTCACCCTATCACCGGCAGTCATCAAGCTGGACTCAGTGGGCAGGCCGTTGGGTCGAGGGTATGTGCCCGTCGAGCAGAAGATCCAGCAGGAGCTGCAGGACCTCAAGGCGCTGAAGCGCCTGAGCAAGATTAACAGGCACAACACACTGAAGGCTTCGCTGGACAAGCTCAGCACAGGCGACGAGGCCGATGCGGAGGAGGATGACGATGAGGACTCTGAAGTGGACTGCTATGGACCCGGAGAACTGCGCAATGTCTAGTCCACCCATGAGTTGGATAGAAATGGGCAAGTGTTAGATAAACTACGTAAAGAAGTTTGATTCTCATTGAATTTTCTTTCTTACCAACAGCATCGAGCCGGAGAACGTACACAAGCCCGCTGGCAATCGCAGCCTGAATGCAGCTGCCTCCATAGCCAATGGAGCCAGCAATGGCAGCATTAATGGAATGCGTCCGGCCATGTCGATGGACCAGCTGTCTCTCTCATCGCAAGGCCTAATTTCCCAGTCGGAAAGCCTGTTCAAAAGAAATGCCGAAAACGGGACGGTTATTGAAGCGGCAATCACTACTTTTAAAAAAGGTACGACCATATCCATTATCAGAAGCTTTTGCAGTGTGACCAACTCATGTTTCGCTATTTTACATCAAAGTGTGACCGCTTTGACTCTTAGCTGGTTGCCTGCAGCCATGTGCAACAGCGACGATCAGCTAACATGGGAGCATGTGCAGCATTGACTATCGATTGCTGGCATGCAACCATACGCAGCTTTGACTATCGATTGCTGGTGTGGAACCATGTGCAGCTTTGACATCCTACGTTTGGGTTATGGTGAATGCACTCAGGAGCAGCCACAGGATCAGGATGAGCTGGATCAAGACCAGGGCGTGCTGGCGTCAGTTTGCCTTCGGTGGTACCTCTACCAAGGGCGTGATGCAGCGGTTTATGGCCTCCCATGGCAAGCTGGTGACACCCAATAGTGCCCTGCCGCCAGTCTCGCCATTGGGCAACATCAGCATCCCAGGGAACTATCAGAATGGAAATCAGCAGCAACAGCAACACCCTCAAGCCTTCCTGGAGAACGGCAACTCGAGAACGGGTATTACCACGGTCACCCTATTACCGGCAGCCATCGAGCCATCAGAGGGCAAGCCGTTGCGTCGAGGGTATGTGTCCGTCGAGCAGAAGATCCAGCAGGAGCTGCAGGACCTGAAGGCGCTGAAGCGCCTGCGCAAGATTAACAGGCACAACACACTGAAGGCTTCGCTGGACAAGCTGTGAGTACACGTCAAGGCTTTCAAGAATCCTCTTATCTTACGTTTTTTCGTTTCCAGCCAGCTCAGAACAGACGACGAGGCCGATTCGGTGGAGCACTGCTGTGGACCCGGAAAACTGCGCAATGTCCAACTGTAACCGGTATGTTGAGGATGAGGCCAAGACAGCGCGTGATGCCCAGGAGAAGTTGCGCTCATCCCTGGCCAGGTGAGTTATACTATTCTAATTTTTGTCGAAAGCTTGTAATACTGTGAAGGAGTCATTCTCGACCCTATAAATAGTATATATATTCTAGATCAGCATCATCAGCCGAGTCGGTCTAGCTAGGGTCAGGGTCAGTTTTAAAACTATCGAAAGAGTTAGATTTATAATTAATTTAGGCTTTTAACTTTGAGTATTCGTTTGTAGATATCCTCAATACAAATTACTGAATCACTTTAAATTAAAACTAAGTAATGGGATCCATGGCAATAAGGGAATTAATTGAAAAATAAATGCATAGCCTGATCCCTCCTATAGCATCTATATATGTATATGATATAATTGTCATGATTAAGACTTACCCCAGTGGAGGACACGACATAGTTTACTTCCTTCCATACAATAATATAATTGTCATGATTAAGACTTACCTGAGTGTAGAACACGTCATTGTTTACTTCCTTCCAGTGTAGACTTCGAATCTCGTTGACTTCAATTAGGGTAGTCATAATATCGGAGATCACTTCCTGGTTATCCAGATGTATTCCATTGGCCACGTCATTCTTTTAATCACTATCACTATCGATGTAAACACTAGGTACCCCTAGGACAGACTGAGGTCGCGGCGAACGAAGTGCCTCTATTTATAGTTCCCCAGCCAAGAGAACAGAGAAAGTGAGAGCGAGAGAGTAAGAGATAGGCAGAGAAACATACAGCGAAGAAGTTAGCTCTGAAGATGCACATTGGGAGTTGGACCTACCGGATACAAAGAGGTAGAGAGAGTAAGAGAAAGGAAGAGAGCTGTTGATGCTGATCAGAATATGTTTACTTAATAAGGGCGTTACTGCGTTCCAAACTTTTGAGTAAAATTATAATACCATGCAAGGGTATAAAACTGATAAAATAAAATTTGAACTCTCTTGCAGAGGAAATATAATTTTAATCAGTATAGGAGTCACGAAATGCGCGAACGTTTGCTGCAGACTGCCGAAATGGAGGCGGAGGATTTGCAGTAATGCGCCAGCAATGGGTGAGTACAGAGTTAAGTCAAGTTAAGGAACGTCACATAAATTAATTTCTATCCTTTGTATCTAGAGCACCGTCTGAAGCGAGCTTGACGAAAGCAAGCTGTATAACAACGTGGAGTTGGAGTCGATAGACAAATTCTTTTCGGCTTACCAAAAGAATGCGGTATCGGTGAGTGTCTCGAAGAGATTCCAATGAAAGGTCTTCCTTTATTTAATGCTCTCCTCTCTTTTCACAGGCTACCGATGGCTCCTTTGAGGATCTGCGAGCAACTGGCGGCAAGCCAGCCGGGACGCCGAGCCCAGAACTGCACCACCCTGCTCAGACTGCTCAGCAAGATGAAGATGAGCTATATGGAGATATCAAAGTCCAGATCCAGTCCAAGCAGCAGCAGCAGCCGCTCAAGCTGACCGTGGTCACCCGCCAGGAGCAGCGTTACATTGGACCCAACTGCCTCAACATGACACCGGAGCCGCCGCAGCAGAAGCTCATTACCAGGACCACTTCCACTCCGCAGCTAAGCGGCCTCGGCGGTGCCTCTACCAAGGGCGTGATGCAGCTGTTTATGGCCTCCCATGGCAAGCTGGTGACACCCAATAGTGCCCTGCCGCCCGTCTCGCCATTGGGCAACATTAGCATCCCAGGGAACTATCGGAATGGAAATTAGCAGCAACAACAACACCAACAGCAAAACCCTCAAGCTGAACACGCGCGTCGTTGGCCTTCCGGTCACCCTATCACCGGCAGTCATCAAGCTGGACTCAGTGGGCAGGCCGTTGGGTCGAGGGTATGTGCCCGTCGAGCAGAAGATCCACCAGGGGCTGCAGGACCTCAAGGCGCTGAAGCGCCTGAGCAAGATTAACAGGCACAACACACTGAAGGCTTCGCTGGACAGGCGACGAGGCCGATGCGGAGGAGGATGACGATGAGGACTCTGAAGTGGACTGCTATGGACCCGGAGAACTGCGCAATGTCTAGTCCACCCATGAGTTGGATAGAAATGGGCAAGTGTTAGATAAACTACGTAAAGAAGTTTGATTCTCATTGAATTTTCTTTCTTACCAACAGCATCGAGCCGGAGAACGTACACAAGCCCGCTGGCAATCGCAGCCTGAATGCAGCTGCCTCCATAGCCAATGGAGCCAGCAATGGCAGCATTAATGGAATGCGTCCGGCCATGTCGATGGACCAGCTCTGTGATCTGACGCCCAAGGAGGCGTCCTTATCGCGAGGCCTCATTTCCCAGTGGAAAGGCGGATCAAGAGGAATGCCGAGAACGGCACGGGCCTCTAACGTGAACAGCGCCAAGGAGAAGAGCCTCGATGAATGGAAATCAGCAGCAACAGCAACAACCTCAAGCCTTCCTGGAGAACGGCAACTCGAGAACGGGTATTACCACGGTCACCCTATTACCGGCAGCCATCGAGCCATCAGAGGGCAAGCCGTTGCGTCGAGGGTATGTGTCCGTCGAGCAGAAGATCCAGCAGGAGCTGCAGGACCTGAAGGCGCTGAAGCGCCTGCGCAAGATTAACAGGCACAACACACTGAAGGCTTCGCTGGACAAGCTGTGAGTACACGTCACGGCTTTCAAGAATCCTCTTATCTTACGTTTTTTCGTTTCCAGCCAGCTCAGAACAGACGACGAGGCCGATTCGGTGGAGCACTGCTGTGGACCCGGAAAACTGCGCAATGTCCAACTGTAACCGGTATGTTGAGGATGAGGCCAAGACAGCGCGTGATGCCCAGGAGAAGTTGCGCTCATCCCTGGCCAGGTGAGTTTATACTATTCTAATTTTTGTCGAAAGCTTGTAATACTGTGAAGGAGTCATTCTCGACCCTATAAATAGTATATATATATTCTAGATCAGCATCATCAGCCGAGTCGGTCTAGCTAGGGTCAGGGTCAGTTTTAAAACTATCGAAAGAGTTAGATCTTATAATTAATTTAGGCTTTTAACTTTGAGTATTCGTTTGTAGATATCCTCAATACAAATTACTGAATCACTTTAAATTAAAACTAAGTAATGGGATCCATGGCAATAAGGGAATTAATTGAAAAATAAATGCATAGCCTGATCCCTCCTATAGCATCTATATATGTATATGATATAATTGTCATGATTAAGACTTACCCCAGTGGAGGACACGACATAGTTTACTTCCTTCCATACAATAATATAATTGTCATGATTAAGACTTACCTGAGTGTAGAACACGTCATTGTTTACTTCCTTCCAGTGTAGACTTCGAATCTCGTTGACTTCAATTAGGGTAGTCATAATATCGGAGATCACTTCCTGGTTATCCAGATGTATTCCATTGGCCACGTCATTCTTTTAATCACTATCACTATCGATGTAAACACTAGGTACCCCTAGGACAGACTGAGGTCGCGGCGAACGAAGTGCCTCTATTTATAGTTCCCCAGCCAAGAGAACAGAGAAAGTGAGAGCGAGAGAGTAAGAGATAGGCAGAGAAACATACAGCGAAGAAGTTAGCTCTGAAGATGCACATTGGGAGTTGGACCTACCGGATACAAAGAGGTAGAGAGAGTAAGAGAAAGGAAGAGAGCTGTTGATGCTGATCAAGAATATGTTTACTTAATAAGGGCGTTACTGCGTTCCAAACTTTTGAGTAAAATTATAATACCATGCAAGGGTATAAAACTGATAAAATAAAATTTGAACTCTCTTGCAGAGGAAAATATAATTTTAATCAGTATAGGAGTCACGAAATGCGCGAACGTTTGCTGCAGACTGCCGAAATGGAGGCGGAGGATTTGCAGTAATGCGCCAGCAATGGGTGAGTACAGAGTTAAGTCAAGTTAAGGAACGTCACATAAATTAATTTCTATCCTTTGTATCTAGAGCACCGTCTGAAGCGAGCTTGACGAAAGCAAGCTGTATAACAACGTGGAGTTGGAGTCGATAGACAAATTCTTTTCGGCTTACCAAAAGAATGCGGTATCGGTGAGTGTCTCGAAGAGATTCCAATGAAAGGTCTTCCTTTATTTAATGCTCTCCTCTCTTTTCACAGGCTACCGATGGCTCCTATGAGGATCTGCGAGCAACTGGCGGCAAGCCAGCCGGGACGCCGAGCCCAGAACTGCACAACCCTGCTCAGACTGCTCAGCAAGATGAAGATGAGCTATATTGAGATATCAAAGTCCAGATCCAGTCCAAGCAGCAGCAGCAGCCGCTCAAGCTGACCGTGGTCACC